GAGGAGGCAGCGGATCCCGAGGCCAGGAGGCAGCGAGTCCCGAGGCCAGGAGGCAGCGGAGTCCCGAGGCCAGAGGCAGCGATTCCCGAGGCCAGGAGGCAGCGGATTCCCGAGGCCAGGAGGCAGCGGATTCCCGAGGCCAGGAGGCAGCGGAGTCCCGAGGCCAAGAGGCAGCGGAGTCCCGGGGCCAGGAGGCAGCGGATTCCCGAGGCCAGGAGGCAGCGGATTCCCGAGGCCAGGAGGCAGCGGAGTCCCGAGGCCAGGAGGCAGCGGATTCCCGAGGCCAGGAGGCAGCGGATTCCGAGTCCCGAGGCCAGGAGGCAGCGGATTCCCGAGGCCAGCGAGGAGTCCCGAGGCCAGGGGCAGCGGAGTCCCGAGGCCAGGAGGCAGAGGAGTCCGAGGCCAGGAGGCAGCGGAGTCCCGAGGCCAGGAGGCAGTCCCGGGCCAGGAGGCAGCGGAGTCCCGAGGCCAGGCAGCGGAGTCCCGAGGCCAGGAGGCAGCGGAGTCCCGAGGCCAGGAGGCAGCGGAGTCCCGAGGCCAGGAGGCAGCGGATTCCCGAGGCCAGGAGGCAGCGGATTCCCGAGGCAGGAGCAACCGCCTCGGCTGCTGCTCCTATATCTGGCCTTGAACCCAGCCAGGTCGCGGCGGCCGCTCGCTGTGCCCGCGAGGCGCGACGAAGGGCGCGCGCCAGCCAGGGCCTCGCGCGCCAGGGCCTCGCTCACCAGGAAGCAGATTATCGACCCGTTGAGGATGACGTCACGGAGATGCAACGGTCTGTGTTGGCTCTGCGAGGGCCGCCGGGGAGTGCCGCGGGAGTGCCAGGATTGAGGGGAAGGGGGGTGGGGGTCGCCAGTCGCTCGTCTCGCTCCCTGGGCGTGTTGCTGGGTTTACTCTTTATTTATTTCATTAATCTTTATTTCCTTTCAGCTGTTGTCATCATTACAGTTTTGTTATTATTATAATCATCGCTGTCACTTTTATCATTACTGTTATCATCATTGTTATTATTACTATCATCAGCTTTTTACTATTTTTTCATCATCAGTTTCACTCTAATTGCTATCATGACTGCCATCATCACTATCATCAGCATTACTACTATCATCATCGTTAGCCTTACTTTAATTATCAGTACTAATATTAATGATATCATAATGAGCTTTATTGTAAGCATTAATATTGTTTTTATTGTTATAGTTATTTTTACTATTTTTTATTATTTTTATTATCATTATTATCGTTATTATTATTATGATTATCTTTACTCTCATCAGTGTTTTCATCATTATCATTACCACCATTATTATCAATATTTTCATCATCATTATTATCATCATCATTATTGTCATTATTCTCATCATCATTCTCATTTTCATCATCATCATCATCAATATCATTATCATCATGATTATCATTATCATCACCATTATCATTATCTTTGTAAATTTCATCATCACTATAATAATCATTATTAGCATTATCGTCATTGCATTATCATCATTATCATCATCAGTATAATAAAAAGATAATAATGATTATTTATATTATTATTGTTGGTGTTGCTGTTACCATTGTTATTATTATCATAAACATTAGTATTATCATTATTACTGTTATCACCTTTATGGTCTTCAATATTGTTGTTGTTGTTGTCTTTATCATTATCATTATTGTTACCGTTATCATTATTATCATTACTAACATTATTGTTGTTATTTTTATTATCACTATCATTTTTATCATTATCATTATTACTTGTATTGTTATTATTAACTTCATAATTATTATCATTATCATAATAATTGTTGTTATCATTATTATCATCAGAATTACTACAATTATTTGTAGTATCAACATTATCCTCATTGGTCATTATCATTACCACTGCTATTATCATCATTATTACTATCATCATCATTATTGTTATCATTATTATTCTTATTGGTTTATTATCATTATCATGATCGTTACTATTTAATCATTATCAATATTGTTAGTATCATTATTCTTATCATCCTTATCATCATCATTATTATCATTATTATTATCATTTTCGTTGTTATCATCATTATCATTATTGTTATTATCATCATTATTATCACTATTGTTATTATCATCATTATTATCATTATCATTGGCAGTATTATTGTTATCATTATTTATTTACTTTATTATCTTAATCATTCATATTTACATTATCATTAGCATTTTACTTGTAGTAGAATAAGCGATTACTGTCATCATTGTTATTATTGTAACTGTGCATATGACTTAGAAAATATTATTATTTTCACTCTCATTAGCGCTGTTATTATTTTTATTATTATTACTTTCATTATCATCATTATTTTCTATGTTCATTATTGATACTATCATTAATATTATTGTTATTGTTATTATTATTGTTATTATTTTCGTTTTTTTTTTTATCATCATCACATCATCATCATTGTATATTGTCATTATTATTATCATTATTATTATTACTATTATCATTTTTATATTATGATGATTATTATTATTGTTATTATTATCATTATTAGCATTATTAGCATTGCTGTTGTTGTTCATTATCATTTCTATTACTGTCCTTTTTGTCATAATTTTCATCATTATCATCATTGTTATCATTATCATCAATGATATCATTGTTAGTGTATCGTTATTACTTTTATTGATATTATCATTTTCTTTTATTATGATCGCTATCTTTATCATAATTATTATTGAAATTCATGTTATTATTATAATTTTTATCAAAACTACTACTGATATTATTTGAACCATTTAAATTACTGTTACCATCATCTTTATTGCTGTCTTTATCATTATTGCTAATATGATAATAGAAATGGTAATAGTTATTGATATTGTTGATAATTATCATCATCATTATAACCATTATTATTTTGAATATTGTTATCATTACTTTTATGTTTTACTATTATTATACAATTAATACCATTAATACGACTGCCATTACTAGTAGCACTAACACCTGGATTCGTATGATCATTGTTATTAATATTTCTATTATTGTTGTTGTTGTTGTATCACCAACATATTTTTTATCATTATTGTTATTATATTTATTTTCATTGTTATTATTATTATTATTTTCATTATCATGATTGTTATAATCATCATTTTCATTATTATCATTATCATTATTATTAGCGTTATATTAATCATCACTCATCCTAATCTAGCGATCAATTACTCCCACCCATATTATGATCATCTACACCCATTTCTTGTCACACAACGATTATCATAATAAGTCAACTCGCAATCCAAACAAGCTGTATTAGTCTCATCATGCTTCATTTCGAATTTTTTTCTCTTCTTTCTCTTCTTGCATAATTATCTTCAAGGCATTACAGTTAATTTGCCATGTAATTTTCATAACTTTGATTTAGTTTGTTTGTGTTGTTTGGTTCGGTTCAGTGTGGATGTGTTGGCACTCGCTCGCGCGTTGTGGGTTGTGGTGTGGTGGGTGTGGTGGTGTGTCCTCCTCTTCTCATTCTCTCTCTGAGAGCGGCGGCAGAAACTGAGAAATGCTAATGAAAATATAGTGATGTTTCACTTAATAGGGAGAATAAAAAAATCAAGACATAAATAATAATGATTTGCTGGTTTCTTGCTGATTAGTCAATAGAGCATGGTATGTAGGGCCTATTCAGCTGGTCTTCTGATGCGTATTGATTTTATATACTGTGGTGTCGTCAAATAAAATACTAGATTGCTAAAGCGCTTCAATATAAACCGTTGCTGGATCAGAAAGGACAATACTGTCCACAAAACCTTATTTATTTGGCATAGGCAATAATTTTATCTCACAATAATAATATTTACTTTCATAGTGTTCCTATTGTTGGCACACGGCAAATTTGATAAGTGTTCTTATGATTTGTATTCTCACCCATTGGGTGGCAACACACCCATCACAACTCACTCTCCCACAAGGCCATTTTCCCATGCCACTCTCAGGCAAACACGAAGTGGGAACAACCACACACTATCGCATACCTAAATTCGGCACTACACTATCATTTATATGACAAATACTGACTGGACCACATTAGGCACAGGCAACATATATATTAGGTACAACCCTAAGAAGGATATTACAAGCATTTAGACTAAAACAGGCTTTATTTGACTTGACGGTTTGGTAAATCATTTTATTTTATAAATATGAATAATTCAGTGGACATATATATGAATGGTAATTCATAAATGATATGATTAACTATACGCTATATAATGATTGGATAAGTGAATAATAATGTAATAGATTGGTGAGTGTGATTGATTAGCATCATGATATTGAATGAATTAGTAGCGTGAATAATTGATATGTACGATTGAGAATAAGATATGAGATGTGTTAGTTGCAGAGTAGATGTTGGATTAAGTAAGATGTATGGTGTTGGTTGGAGTGACAATATAATCAAGAATATGGAAAATATTATTAACAGATTATCCGTAATTACGAATACCCGAGTTTAGTTGCACTTTTGCCATAGATTGGCCAGTTCGTTATTAAATGGTGAATAAATTGAGTATACTGATTAAATTGAGGATAATTACCTATAAAAAGTAATTGATAACAAATACTTCAAAATAAATAACTGGTTCATATGACTGATTGATAATTATAACAATATCGATAATATATACCATTTCTATTAATTTCCGATATATAGACAAATATTTCATTTTCGAATAAAAGACTAGACAATAAAAGATATTGATGGTAACTATCAATCATTAATATCTCGTGTTCACACGAATTATATATCGTAGTAGTTCTAGATAAAAATTATAATAATTAACATAGAATTATTCAAAAATAATTATGAATAACAGATATGCGATGTCATAATAAAATAGAAATGTCTTAATTAATAAAAGTAAATGTAACATACAACTAACGGCAGCATTGATAATCATATGTATTGATAAGGATCTCACATCCAATGAATGATAATGATGAAAAATTTATGACAAAAAGGACAGTAATCAGAAATGATACAACGTAATCCAACTAACAAGTTGCTCATATGCTAATTAATCGATTATTAATAATAACAATAAATAAAATCATCATTAATATGATAACTAATAGATAATGAGAATAAGTAAATCAATTAATATGTAGATAATGTGATATAATCAAATGAAACAATTATACATATGATTATGATGTGGCTGTATTGAGTAATAAAAAAAAACGAATAATCTAATAAACAATAATATATTAAACAATAAACAATAAATATATGATAGTATCAATAAATGACATAGAAAATCAACTGCACACTCGATAATGAAAGTAATAATAATAAAAATAAAACAGCGACTAAATGAGAGTGCAAAAATAAATACAACTTTCTAAAGTCACTCAATGCCAACAGTTACAATAATAACAATCAGATGACAAAGCTAAATCGCACTTAATTCTACTACAATAAAAATGCTAATGATCATGTACAATATGAATGATTAAATAATGAAAAGTAAATAATAATGTAAAAATCACATTATACTGGCCAATGTATAATGATGTAATATAGTTGATGATGATATGAACTAGTAGTGATTAAGACAGTGTATGGATGTAGTTAAGCATGATGTATAATGATTGGTGTATATATACAATACGATGAAATGACTTGTATAATACATATATACTTAAATTAAATAGATAGATGAATAAGAAGATAATATAATGAATTAAATGATACTCTAACCAATATTGAATAATTAGATTTAATAATAGTAAAACGATCATGATATTATAGAATAATAAAACCAATAAGAATTAATAATATAGATATACATATAATGATGTAAATGATATGTAATAAATGATATTGATAATAGCAGTGGTTAATGATAATGGACCAATGACAGGATAATGTTGAATACTACACATAATGTAGTAATTCTGATGATAATGAATGAATATAAACAACAAGTTGTATTGATGATAATGAGTTAATGATTGAGTGTGTGAATGAAGTAAGATAATGAGATCAATACATAATAATTCACATTGACATTCATTGTTATAACGAAATAGATTAGGTGCCTAGTACTTTCACTTAAGATCCAATCACTTACAACCAGCTGTAATATGTTAGCTATATGATAATATGATGTACACTGGTACACCAACCGTTAGAGTGCTTTTATTGCGTTCACTTGAGCGACAACATACAAGCGACACACTATCAGATTGAGACACGACGCGCGCCAACTTTTCCCTGCACTCTCTGTCGACGTCTTGCGAAAGCCTTCGTCCCGGGCACCTAACAGCCTACCCTCCGTAACGGTCCTCCAATGCACCATGTTTCAGGCTTTCCCTAGTGTATACGCATTTTATCTCCTTTCTCCTATTTCTATTCTTTGGGTCACAGATCATTAGCTTCGTATCCTTTCTTCATGCTTAGCTTTTAACCCCTTTCTCTTTCTGTTTTCTGTATTTCTCTGTCTGCCTTTTCCCCCTAAGGAAGGGATCGGTAGTACGGGCTGATGTACGAGGTGGCCTTTTCCCTGCGTCCAACAGAATACATTAATTGAACTTACTCTCATTGTTTGTAAGTTGAATTTGTTGATTCATTTTGTATTATGTATTACTGGAGATATAATCTCTTCATATTTTCCTATTTAATTATCAATTCTATTATATATATTATTTATATATCTTTTACTTCTAATAGTTATATTTTAGTCTTATTATATTGTGTATCATTAGTTATTATTTTTTGTTATTTATATTTATAATATTATCATTATAGATGAAAGTTGTTCATGTCATTTTAGATGTATACTGATACATATGTTGCATATAGTTGATATTTGTTAGATAATTAGTCTATATACATATTACAAGTCAATGTCATTAGTATATACAGGTATATTTTTTATTTATACAGTTAGTTAGCCTGTTATTATATGCGGTTGATAATATATTAGTATACTACAAGCATAAGAGGAGTAGTTAGCTGGTGACCTATTACCCCACCCTTCTACTACATCTGGCCCTATACCCGCGTAGCTTCTCAGCGTGACCCTATTCTGACCGCTACCTACCCTAGCCAGTGTTGCACATATTTACGGTTGCTCAGCCTTACTTTATCTACTCAGAGTGACTCCTCACTTGCTATACCACTGGGTGGTGGGATTCACTAGTGGACGTGACACACTCACGTACGAGCTCATGTGATGTACGCAGTCGCCTACGTGACGCTTCGCGGCTCCGCCTAACGAGCTAGTGCACGCCGTCGACACTGGTGCTAGGTTCACGTGCACGTATTATTCAGGATAACTAGTCACACTCGAGCTGCATTACGGTTCTGTCTTCATCACTTATAGGCTTTACGGCTCCGCTGCCTCCTGGCCTCGGGAAATCGCTGCCTCCTGCTCCGGGACTTTACCGTGCTGCCCTGTGCCTCAGAGGACTCCGTACTGTCCACCTCCCGGTCCCTCTAGGAACTTCCAGCTCGCATTCCTTGCTACGGGACTACTACTGATGCCTCCTGGCCTCGGGATCCTCTATGCCTCCTGCTCACAGGGACTCCGCTTGTACATCCTGTGCATATGGGATACTCCATCTGAGCTTCTCATCTATGGCCTCGGAGGATCATCCGCGCCTCCTGGCCATATCGGGAAATCCTAGCTGCTTCACTGGCCTCTGGGACCCGCTGCCCTGGCCCGGGAACCGCTGCCTCCTGGTATCCTCGAGGACTTATACCTCACTATGTCTGTATATATACTCTAGGGTCAAACACTCAGTGATGCCTCCATCTCTGATAGCCTATCTGAGGCAGCTGTGTCGTAATATTGTTATATATGTGTGTGTGTGTATATATATTACTACTTTACCTTGGGCTCGCCTTACCTAGCTCTCATTTATCATGTAGCCTGCTACGCTGCCTCTACTGGCTACTTACTATGGAGCTTACGTTTGCCTTCTTAGTACCGGTCCATATACCTGAGTTGCTTTCTATATTATAGCCTTGGGGCTATACTAGCTGCTATTTACCACTTTGAGTAGCTCATTGTGACCGTCATGCTATAACATATTCACGCCTATTAATACTATATATTGATAACACTAATATCTATATATATACATATATATATGATATATATATATAATATATATATATATAATATATATGTATACATATATAAATATATATATATATATATATTATATATATATATATATAATATATATATATATGTATATATATATACATATATGTATGTATACGTGCGTATAAATATGAATATATATACATATATATATATATATATATATATATATATATATATATAATATATATATATTATATATATATATATATGTATGTATGTATATATAAATATATATATATATATATATATATATATATATATATATATATGTATATATGTATACATATATATATATATATATTTTTTTTATATGTATATATGCATATGTATATATTATATGCAGTGTCCATTATACACACACATATTAATCTGTTTCTGTCTCTCTCTCTCTCTCTCTCTCTCTCTCTCTCTCTCTCTCTCTCTCTCTCTCTCTCTCTCTCTCTCTATATATATATATATATATATATATATATATATATATATATATATATATATATATATATATATATATATATAATTATATATATATAATATATTATATATATAATATATATATATAATATTTATATATATATATATATATATATATATATATATAATATATATTATATAATATATATATATATATATATCATATATATACATATATATATTTATATTATAATATATATATATATATATATATATATATATATATATATATATATATATATATATATATATTGAAAGAGAAAGAGAGAGAGAGAGCGATGGACTAAGAGGAATATCCACCAATCAATCGGAGTGAGAAAATGTGTCTTGTCAACGGACCTTTGATCCGAAATGCCAGGCGACCATGACAGCATCATGACAAAGCTTCGGCATTTCATGATCCTGAAAACGGCTTAACGAAATAACCGCTTCTGTTCTTACACGGTGAAACAAGTAGGTTTCACAAAACTGGATGACGGTATAAGAATGTCTAGAAATAACCGAATAAGCAATGAACAGAGGTAATTGGAAGTCGCGGAAATATGGAATGGGAAATGGAAATGAGAAAATGGAAAGAAAGAGCAAAGTTTGGAGACTTCAACTCCGAGGCAGCAAGAATCCAGTGCGGTTGAAAGGAAGGCCGGTAAGGAAGGATCACGCGAGGGAGAGACAAGAGAAAAGACCAGAAGAGGCAGAGGAGACAAAGAGACAAAGCGCGAGGCAGAAAGAGAGGGAGGGGAGGGAAGCAGGGAGAAAGGAATAATGATGATAATAGTTGTAGTAAAAATGATAGCAATGGCGATAGTAATGGTAATAGTAAAATAACAATTACGATAATAATACTGTAGTGTACTGGAAAATGTGCAATATCGTAATTAGTCTCTCCCCTGGCAGGCTGGCATCCAAATAAACTCGCGAAGTGACCCGCGGAACAAAAACTCGGGAATTGTAACTGTTAAACTATTTGCACTCTGTTTGGGGTCAAAGCCCTGAGGGAACCCTTGTATCTCACACATTTCCAAAAACAGCTATAACATAAAATCACGCAAGCAGACGAGGCTAATCAGACACACGAGCGTTCTCTGGTACACAAAATCTGCATGAACATTACCAAGCTTAACGTCCCCATAAGTAAGATACCAAAAGGTCGATCCATTCCCCCATGGAAAAACTCATCACTGATTGTGCACTTTATGTCTACCGCAAAAAAACAGTGTACCTAACTGCGTGTTGAAACAAATTGCTATGGCGACGGTAAAGGAACACTTAGAAGCTATGGGCGATGTGTACGAGTGTTACGCTGACGGATCCGTACAGTCTGGATACAAAGCTAGTTGTGCTTGCGCTTTATACAAAAATGGTTTATTGCAACATCAAGTTCATATGAGAGTACAAAATCGGGCCAGCACTACTCAAACGGAGTTGGCAGGTATACTCCTTGCAACAGAATACTTAATGTCTCGGGGCTCTGGTATAGTTTTTTGTGATTCCCAAAGCGCTCTTCGGACACTAAAGGCGTTTTAAGCAGGGAACGGTACAGCGCTTGGCCTATCGGCAAGAATTCTTGCCCAAGCGCTCCCCTGCTTAAAACGCTTTAAGTTCCTTCAAAAGAGATGGTGGTGAGGGAATTGTGAACTGCATTAAGCGTAACGTAACATGCAAGAGAGCGCAATTTTAACATTCAATTTTTTATGGATACCATCTCATGTTGGTATATGCAAGCAGGACCATGTAGACAATTTGGCGAAAGAGGCTTGTAGCAAAGATATTGTAAATATAGATCTTGGGATGCCTCTTGCTAGGGTTGCACACATATCAAAATGTTCTCATAATGAAGAACTGATAGATCTGACGAGTTCACAAAGGCCTGAAAGCTGTAGTGTAAGGCACTACGATCAGTATAGAGATTGTAAGCCATCCTATGGGTGGCACCGAAGGAAAACCAGACAATGTGACGTGGTTATACCCAGAATACGTTTAGGTTATAGAATGTACTGGCAACTGCATGGTGCAAGAAGTGCAGATGAATCTAGATGTAGACTGTGTAATGAGGAAAATGAGCGAACGCTTGAGCATTATATCTCGGAGTGTCATGCGATACAGCCTTTCAGACCAACTAACATGAAGTATAAGGAACTATGTGATTATTTTATAGAATCTGATACATTGGAAGATATACTCATGCTATATCCTAATTTTACTATGTAAAACTATCATAATCATAGAACACACCACAGAACACTTTAATGTAAACACACAAAGGCAAAAGTAGATCAACTTGGGTCATATACGTTTGCATGCTGTATGACATATTCCCATTTTACCATGTATAGTTACTGTAATCACAGAATACTGTACTCTGTCGAATGTATGTGAATATATGTAACACTGTAATCACGAGTGCCCACGCCTGAGCAGTTAGCCATGGTGGTAAATAAACAACTTAACTCAGCTTAACTGTGCAAACTGTATATGTACTTCAATACCGACAAGACGGGCGGAATGAAGCTGCAGGTACAAGAGCCCTTGAAAAGACGAGCACCTTTCCTTTCAAGAGGAGGGGAGCACCCTCGGACCATAGCTACGGGGCGGGTACATGCCTGAATATTTTATTTATTTTTCTTTAAATAAATGTTTATTTTACTAAAGTAATAGAAGAATAACTGTTTTTAGTACACCCCGCCACTCTTCTTAGCCCAGAGCACCAGCTTCTAAAAGAGAAAATAGATGAGAGCTTAAACGGTGGAAAACGTATTTATAGCCAAGTCACGGCTGAAAGTTTTTTTTAATCACGATTTTTTTAAATCAAAGATATCTTCATTTTTAATTAGTTATTTTTCTTTTTAAATGTTTTCATTAAATAAATGTTTACTTTTAAAACCGCCGTATGACTCTCTTTTCATTAAAAAAATTTGTGAAAAGAAATAGAGTAAACATTCACGCCCTACTACCTGTGTTCCTTGGGAGCACAGGTGTAATTAGGTGGTTCTCACCTATTCACGGCAGTTGCTGCAGGTGGAGGCGGGGACACCTTAGACTAGGCTGTCCTCCCTTTTTTTTCTTTGTTCTTTTTGTGGATTACCTGTTTTTTTTCTGATTGAGATACTGCAGCACGAAAGTAAAGTGGTCGTGAGAGAGGTTGTTTTTAGTGGCAATGTTACTTTCGCGGACTGTATATTCGGGCAAGAACCGAAAGGCTGGTGCGCGCGCTCGCCGCTCCTTCCTTTTAAAGCGATTTAATTTTCAACACGGGAGTGAGCGGATTTTATTTTACATACTTTTGGTATTTTCTCGTTTTTTATTTTTTAAGGGGACTAGTCCCTGTCCTTTAGATTTTGTTTTAGACTTTGCATTTCTTTTATGAAGTGTTTTCATTTTATTCTCGTTGTTTTATAATAAAATGATTTCTATAATAAGTGATTTCTTAAACTCTTATTCGAGTTTTTAAAAGGTTGATATACCTGGAAAGATTTCTATAAGTGCTTGCTTATGAAGAGAAGAGATTTCTGTATGTTTACTTTGCTGATTCTTACCTATGCAAGATAGCCTTATCCGAAACCCTTCACACGTGGTGAAGATCCCGTGCTCGTCCTCCCCGCTCTGGTTACGGTTACCCTGTCTTGCCTAATCATACATTCTACACTAAGCACATCACAGCATTTGTACACAATCTCTCCCTCCTTTCCACAGGCCCTTCACGCATTGCCTTCTCCCAAATAATACCCCGTTCCCGTACGTACTAAACGGGTGGTGGCAGTGAGCGCTACTATTGTACATTTCTGTACAGTAAGAGACGGTCATAGAATAAGGTAAAGTTCAACACACTACAATACCAATAATGGCGGCAATGATGATAA